AAAACCACCGCAAACCAACATCAACATGAAACATGCACGCACGCACGCACACACACACACCCAACCATCAGACATAGTGCATCGAATGTTCAGTTGCAATGCTTTCGACACCCATCGACACCCACAGACGGACGATGCTCTACACAAACACAGCCTTTGCCCCTGACAAATGCATATAGTGCTATGGAAACACACGATGTGAACAGAAACAACTGAAACGTACTATGTGTTTCTCCTTCGGTTGGCGTGAATGTATGTTTTATCCATGCTTGGTTCAAACAATAATGTTCGGAAATATGTCTACCGCATGTGGACACCAACAGACAGAATAGTCCAAAGTCAATCAAAAGATAGATTAATACAGAAACTATGATAAATGATAAATTTGGAAAAAAACGAAGCAAATCTGAGTTTCCAGAAAATAATTTGCACGTTTGGAAACAAATTCATTCACTCATAATTTATTGACTGGCTTGTATGCCACTCATTGCAATCAAAACGGTACAAAAGATTGGCTGGAGCCAGCAAAGCTGGCACCCCATGTAGCTGGAATATTCTATCTGTTGATTTCGAATCATTTTGCATATTAAAACATACAGCAAAATGTGGTTGATTAACGTCCTTTTAGCAAACAATTTGAAAAACTCTCGCAAAACGCAAAACCAACATGAAACATGCACACACACACACGTAACCTTTGCTAACCATGCCTCATCAGACATAGCGCATCGAATGTTCAGTTGCAATGCTTTCGACACCCATCGACACCCACAGACGGACAATGCTCTACACAAACACAGCCTTTGCCCCTGACAAATGCATATAGTGCTATGGAAACACACGATGTGAACAGAAACAACTGAAACTTACTATGTGTTTCTCCTTCGGTTGGCGTGAATGTATGTTTTATCCATGCTTGGTTCAAACAATAATGTTCGGAAATATGTCTACCCCATGTGGACACCAACAGACAGAATAGTCCAAAGTCAATCAAAAGATAGATTAGTACAGAAACTATGATAAATGATAAATTTGGAGGCAAACATCATTTTTTTCCAGGAAATCATCTGCACATTTGGAAACGAATTCATTCACTCATAATTTATTGACTGGCTTGTATGCCACTCATTGCAATCAAAACGGTACAAAAGATTGGCTGGAGCCAGCAAAGCTGGCACCCCATGTAGCTGGAATATTCTATCTGTTGATTTCGAATCATTTTGCATATTAAAACATACAGCAAAATATGGTCGATTTATGTTCTATCCGAAAAACAACCGCAAACCAACATCAACATGAAACATGCACGCATGCACGCATGCACGCACGCACACACACACACACCTAACCATCAGACATAGTGCATCGAATGTTCAGTTGCAATGCTTTCGACACCCATCGACACCCACAGACGGACGATGCTCTACACAAACACAGCCTTTGCCCCTGACAAATGCATATAGTGCTATGGAAACAGACGATGTGAACAGAAACAACTGCAACATACTATGTGTTTCTCCTTCGGTTGGCGTGAATGTATGTTTTATCCATGCTTGGTTCAAACAATAATGTTCGGAAATGTCTACCCCATGTGGACACCAACAGACAGAATAGTCCCAAGTCAATCAAAAGATAGACTAATACAGAAACTATGATAAATGATAACTTTGGAAAAAAACGAATCAAATCTAAGTTTCCAGAAAATCAATTGCACGTTTGGAAACAAATTCATTCACTCATAATTTATTGACTGGCTTGTATGCCGCTTCTTTCAATCAAAACGGTACAAAAGATTGGCTGGAGCCAGCAAAGCTGGCACTCCATGTAGCTGGAATATTCTACCTGTTGATTTAAATCATTTTGCATATTAAAACATACAGCAAAATGTGGTTGATTAACGTCCTAGTTGTCAAACAATTTGAAAAACTCTCGCAAAACGCAAAACCAACATGAAACATGCACACAGACACACACACCTAACCCTTGCTAACCATGCCTCATCAGACATAGTGCATCGAATGTTCAGTTGCAATGCTTTCGACACCCATCGACAACCACAGACGGACGATGCTCTACACAAACACAACCTTTGCCCCTGACAAATGCATATATTGCTATGGAAACACACGATGTGAACAGAAACAACTGCAACTTACTATGTGTTTCTCCTTCGGTTGGCGTGAATGTATGTTTTATCCATGCTTGGTTCAAACAATAATGTTCGGAAATATGTCTACCCCATGTGGACACCAACAGACAGAATAGTCCCAAGTCAATCAAAAGATAGACTAATACAGAAACTATGATAAATGATAACTTTGGAAAAAAACGAATCAAATCTAAGTTTCCAGAAAATCATTTGCACGTTTGGAGACAAATTCATTCACTCATAATTTATTGACTGGCTTGTATGCCACTTCTTTCAATCAAAACGGTACAAACGATTGGCTGGAGCCAGCAAAGCTGGCACTCCATGTAGCTGGAATATTCTATCTGTTCATTTAAATCATTTTGCATATTAAAACATACAGCAAAATGTGGTTGATTAACGTCCTAGTTGTCAAACAATTTGAAAAACTCTCGCAAAACGCAAAACCAACATGAAACATGCACACACGCACACACCTAACCCTTGCTAACCTTGACTCATCAGACGTAGTCAATCGAATGTTAAGTTGCAATGCTTTCGACACCCATCGACACCAACAGACGGACGATGCTCTACACAAACACAACCTTTGCCCCTGACAAATGCATATAGTGCTATGGAAACAGACGATGTGAACAGAAACAACTGCAACTTACTATATGTTTCTCCTTCGGTTGGCGTGAATGTATGTTTTATCCATGCTTGGTTCAAACAATAATGTTCGGAAATATGTCTACCCATGTGGACACCAACAGATAGAACAGTCCAAAGTCAATCAAAAGATAGATTAATACAGAAACTATGATAAATGATAAATTTGGAAAAAAAACGAATCAAGTCTAAGTTTTCAGAAAATCATTTGCACGTTTGGAAACAAATTCATTCACTCATAATTTATTGACTGGCTTGTATGCAACTTCTTTCAATCAAAACGGTACAAAAGATTGGCTGGAGCCAGCAAAGCTGGCACTCCATATAGCTGGAATATTCTATCTGTTGATTTTGAGTCATTTTGCATATTAAAACATACAGCAAAATGTGGTTGATTAACGTCCTAGTTGTCAAACAATTAGAAAAACTCTCGCAAAACGCAAAACCAACATGAAACATGCACACACACACACAATACAGCAACCCTTGCTAACCTTGACTCATCAGACGTAGTCAATCGAATGTTAAGTTGCAATGCTTTCGACACCCATCGACACCCACAGACGGACGATGCTCTACACAAACACAACCTTTGCCCCTGACAAATGCATATAGTGCTTTGGAAACAGACGATGTGAACAGAAACAACTGCAACTTACTATGTGTTTCTCACTCCTTCGGTTGGCGTGAATGTATGTTTTATCCATGCTTGCTTCAAACAATAATGTTCGGAAATATGTCTACCCATGTGGACACCAACAGATAGAACAGTCCAAAGTCAATCAAAAGATAGATTAATACAGAAACTATGACAAATGATAAATTTGGGAAAAAAACGAATCAAATTTATTTTTTCCAGAAAATCATCGGCACGTTTGGAAACGAATTCATTCACTCATAATATTGACTGGCTTGTATGCCACTCATTGCAATCAAAACGGTACGAAAGATTGGCTGGAGCCATTAAAGCTGGTACTCCATGTAGCTGGAATATTCTATCTGTTGACTTTGAATCATTTTTCATTCAAAATGTGGAACATATAGTTATATTGATAAACATCCTGTTTGTCAAATTGAAACATGCACACACACACACACACCTAACCCTTGCTAACCTTGACTCATCAGACGTAGTGCATCGAATGTTCAGTTGCAATGCTTTCGACACCCATCGACACCCACAGACGGACAATGCTCTACACAAATACAGCCTTGGCCTTTGCACCTGACAAATGCATATAGAGCTATGGAAACACACGATGTGAACAGAAACAACTGCAACTTATGTGTGGTTCATTGACAATGTACGGAAATAGCTGTACCCTTGGGGAAATCAACAGATAGAATAGTCCAGCAGATAAATCATACAAAAATATGCAAAAATCATGATAAATGCGAATTTGGTCAAAGTTTCCGGAAAATCATTGATGCCTCTGAAAACCCTATATATATATATACACGGATTAACAGATAGAATATTCAATACTGCAACGAAACCTCAAAAACTATTCTATCTGCGAGTTATACTGTCAACGTGTTTTCTGCCATTTTTTCATTTTTAACTTACCCGAAAAAGTCATTGATTTTATTCTATGTGCCAGTTACTGAATATATATAAAATGTAATACATGGCATTAAGATGATTTAGATGCAGCTAAAAGCTGATATTGTTCTTGGATATTTTGACCATTTCCACAACTCATCCTCCGGATGTTTCGAAACCACTAGTTTTTGGAACCTTTCTTTGTCCGTCCTCTGCCGCAAAAGCTGTTGACATTGATCTTTTACTCCATAGATGTTGCGGTCATGGTTTGGTGAAATTGGCGACTTCGTCAAAGGCCACGTCCTTGGAGATCAACCTCTGGTGACCGATGTTGGATTTATTCTACTTGCACTTCAGTATCACTCTTTAACGTTGTTGCCATTTGCCGGAGACGTTCCTGTTATTGTTTCAATATGTTTCAGTAACACTAACTACAGTAAATATATTATTATCAATATACTATCACAATATCTTTCAATAATACTACTATCATCTTGTTGTTTCCCTGGATTGGTGGTGCTACCATTTAAGCGCCGTTGTGGATTCCGGCCCAGCCCCCAGGACAGCAAGAAGCCAATACCTTGCACACCGAGCAGAAAAGGACTGCGGGCGGGTCGACTGGGCACGACTGGAGATGATCTTCCTTTTACCATGTGGGCAAAGCATGGGATAATGATGGGATAGTGGGAGAAGATGGGAGAATAATGGACAAGAATGTTGTAAAATCACTGGATGATACTCTATATGTGTATCCCTCCGGGGCGGACGTTCGCCCAAAGTTTCATTGGGGTTTAGTTACGTTGTGATTTGTTCAGGATATATTTCAGATTGTTTTGGAGTTTGCTTAGGGTTGGTTTGGATTTTCCTTAGGGTTTGTTTAGGGTTTATTTAGGGTTTGTTTAGTTAATAGTCGTGCTATTTAGGCGTTTTAAGGTTTGCTCACGGTTGTTTTAGGGTCTATTTAGGGTCATCTAGTGTTGATTTTGGGTTGGTTTGGGGTTTGTTTAGGGTTTATTTAGGGTTAGGCTATTTTGGTGTTCTTTGAAAGTCTTGCGGTCTGTTGAGGTCTCAGTTAACTGCTCAAAACACTGCAAATTACGGAGGATATCTTCAAGATACGCTTCAAAAGGTGATTTTGGCATATTTTGGCACCGTCTTAGGTCAGAGCAAAAATGCCATGAGACGCAGGTAATATCAATATTTTGCATGCTCACAGTGTGCGAAAAACACGCACGGAAACAACACAGCAGATTGCAGTCCCGAATGGAATTCCGTGGATTCGGGCAAACGTCAGCCCTCTAGCGATATGTATATATATATATGTGTTATAGACACTATAACTATATGTGTTGGGTGTGTCTGAAAATGGGGTGCTCCTAAATCCATTCTCCCATGAATCTTTGGATCATCTCCGTGTGTCAACTGGAGACATTCGGAATAGCAGCGACCTATAAACGAACCATTCGGAACACGTACTCTTACAATCTCTTACATCTTTCATATTAATTATTATACTTTACTATCATATGATATATTGAACATTAATATATACCTTGTACTTTTGCCCATTGTAGATATCTCCATGGGAAAAGCCACTGGCTCGCAGTCGCACCTGCAGTGGCTTCTTCGTCCCACTGCCGCAGCTGCAGCATGCGCCGTTGCCGCATTTCCAACAACAAGCCCTGAAGATTCTCGGTGAACGTCTTGCCCGTGGCGCTACCAATGGCTATGGATGGGGCGAAAAGAGGTGATGGTAATGGGCCGGTAACGGATGAGTCTATTTGAGTTATTCACACTGCTTTGGAAGCCCAGCAGCTTCCATGGTTCCGTTCCGGTTTTCGGGTCCGGCAAAAAAGACTGTAACACGATTGAAAGCCAACGGTCACCGCTGTTGGGAATCAACCCATGTCCATTGATCAGCGGATATATATAAGTCAGCTACTACCTAGGCAACGAACAGGGATGTTCGCGCTGAAGTTTGTGAAATGGATGGTAGCAGAGTGCAATACATTCAAACAGTCAGTGATGGTGGTTATCCCGCATAAGAATTGCTGAAGCGATTTTATGAATTTACCTCCTGGTAAGTGATTGATTATCTTAATAAGACATACTTAAATTACTTAAGTGGTACCCCTAATTCCGCTGGATTATAGTAATGTTCTCCCATTAGAATATAGGCATTTGGGGGTATACCATATTTCACACACTTGGATAAATATGGGACTTCTCCAATCTATGCGTGTTGCACTTGGATACCACGTCCTACTGCTTTGTCACTGGATGTCAACCAGGTTGGATGTGATACGGATTCCAACCCCACTTCAGCTTCACACTTCCAGGTAGATTAGCGACTCATCAATCAAGTACAAAGCCGTTTGATTTGGGATCTCAAAATGGGGAAACATCCCAAGTTATGGCAGTTTTGACAATGAAGATGATGAGAAGCATGAATTCGGGAAAGAGAACTTGACACAGCTTCACTTCATGTCCATATCCAATCCCATAGGATCCATGGTGCTGGTATATATGCTAACATTGGGGGTATATTGATGGGATCCATGTTACCATATATAGCAGCACCATGGATCCGTCATGGGAATAACATCCAATAGCAGATCCCAGTGGGCCCAAGGGGCCCAAAACCTTGGAATTTCGCCATTTTTCGAGGCAGAACACCATTGCACGCGTTGCGAAGCTGGCAAACGCTTCTCCCGCCGTGATGCCCGGTGTTTGGAGGCCGCCGCGATGGACCGATGGCACAGATTCCTGATGGATATCTGGCGAGATTTCTAGGATTTTCTAGCTACATTGATAAATATGTATACATATATATATATTATTAGTTATATATCCGGGTTTATGTCATTTAAGTCATTTTAAGGCAGTATCTTGGCAAACGCAGAGCATATAGTACAATTCCTCATAATTCCCAATATACTCTTGAAATTCTGGAGGGAGTACTGAGTACTCACCATAAATCCTTTTCCCAGTATTGCTATGACCCAGAAAATTGAGGTTCAATTGGCCTTGCCAATATTGTCTGAAAGTTGGGCCTGACAAAGACCCTATGTGCCACAGTCAAAAGTTGGGATTCGACCCTGCCAACTTGCATCGACCGGCAGTGTTCCACTCAGGATTCCTTGAAAAGCTGGGATGATTTCCCAGCTTGTGGGCTGGAAAGAATGCCAGGAATAGTCAGTAGGTAACCAAGCCAAAACCGATCTACATCATACAGGTGAGTGTAATGTAGCGGTATGTTAGTTATGGTATGTTGAAGCTATGTAATGTAATGTAATGTAATGTAAGATAGAAGATATGTAGAAGTATATTAATATTTTGATATTTTCATATGTGTATATATATATATATGCAGATGAAGATATGCATATTATACACAGACTAGGTGTATGGACCCCACTGGGGGCTTACCCTCCAGCCTCCCATCGCCAGGTTGGAAACGCGTGCAGGAATCTATACAGACCTGGAACGAGACACTTGGAGTGGTGGATGTGGATGAGCCTAGCCTCGGGTAATTTGCTACGTAGCTGCTATGAAAATTGGCCCAGTCGAAATAGTGGATTTTCCCATGAAAAATGGTGTTTTCCTTAAAAAATGGTGATTCACCTATAAAAGAATAGCTGATTTACCCTCTGGTAAACATACAAAAAGCTATTGAAAATGGCCATTTATAGTGGATTTTCCCATGAAAAATGGTGATTTTCCATAGCTATGTTAAATTACCAGAGGGTACCTATAAAAGAACGTGATTTTGCCTAGTGATGTTAAATTACCAGAGGGTAAGCGTTTCCAGGTGATAAAACCGCAGGGTGTTTGTTAAGATGTGGAGAAAAAGGTGGAAACATGTGGGCAGTGTTAATCCCCCACGGTGAATGAAAAAAGATCATCATCTTGACAGTTGATAGGCAGTAAGAGGCATGATGTTGATAAATACTTTGCAATAGCATGCATACAGAATGTCATGAGACCCAACAAGTATTGTCAAGTATAGCATGTGGATCTTTTCCTTTGCAGTGTTTACCCTCTGGTTAAAAAAACATAGCTATGGAAAATCACCATGTTATAGAATATATAATTAGGAAAATCAACTATTTCTATGGACCATGTCATGTTCAGTAGCTTTGTTAAATCATAAGAGGTTATCTCCTGTAAATCCACCATGATCGCGGAATATTAACCATATATTAAGCATATATATATATATTATACCCTCTGGTTATTTAACATAGCCATGGAAAATGGCGCAATTATAGATGATTTTCCCAGCTATAAACCTCCATCTGTAAGGGATTCCCATGATTCCCATGGCTATGTTAGTCATAACCAGAGGGTATCCATAATCTTCACCAGTTCTCAGGATCTGGAAGTGAAGACAATGAAAGAAACTACTGCACGCTGGAAACCAACTGCCGACATGGCCGAGCTCGAGGCTACGACGGCTACGACGCAGGTTGTAGAAATAGATGCAAAGCAGATGAAATAATATACGTTTGTTTCAGGTGATTCGGCTTATGTTCCCAATGGGAAATCCACTAGGACTGGGGAATCGAAAAGGGACTATGAGTTATTTTTTGGGAGGCTCTGTTTGGGCATGTCCAAGAAAATGTATATGTAAATATCATGTACATATCATATGTGGGTATAGGTAGACAGTTTTGAAAAGAGTTTCGGGACTGGCCCAAGGTTGACGATTCATTGGTTTTACCTGAGCATCTGAATTTTGGTTATTGTAACACCGTATGTATTTCGTGGGTAACCCGGTAATCCAATTTTATATACCAGTGGTCATGCAAGTGTTGGTTCCATTCCCGTGTTCATCCATTGTATATATTGAACACCGTTGTTTAAAAGTTTGTGTTTGTCCCTGTTTGTTCAGCATATAGGATCATTTGGATGGTTTACTCAATATGCGCAAATGGTTTGTGCTTTCAATATGTGGTGTTTTCAGTTTTCTTGGGATGATTTTCTCATTTTCTCTACTTCTAAGATCCCAAATCATATTCTTGGAATGGGTGGAACCACCAACCAGCATTTGGGTCTGGGTCAAAATGATTCGATCCCCCAAGGGTTTGATGTCTTCAGTCTCAGCTTCCTCCAAGTGGTTTATCCCATCTATAAATGGATTAAGCTATATCATATTACATGACCCATTCCTTAAGAAATTATTCCAGGGTATCAACTAGGTTATGGAATAATTTCTTTTGGAATAATTTTCAAGGAATAAATTTTGAGGGGGGTAGGTATACGATTATGCATGTTGGAATTTGAAAATCATGATCCAGCCCGTCAAGATACCCCGGAATAATTAGGTTTTGGAATAATTTTTGGTAACTTAAAACATCTTGAAGCAGCCTATACTTCCTACATTTGGCCTGGCCTTTCCAAAAGCCATTCCTAGCTTGGCGGTGTTTGCCTGAAAACTTTTTGCTGGAAATGCCAATTGCAGTTTTTTAAGGCATCATGCAGTTTGGGCAATTGCTGCCAACCTTTTTTTGCAGCGTACTTGCACGCACAACTAGTGTCGACCGGACCACCTTTCTCTCACGGTACTTTCTCTCGAGAGCTCTTTGGGTGGCAATGAATGGGGAATGTTGGGAAAATACCTAGGAAAAGGCCAGGTTGAGTGCCATTGTGTGGGCTTTCCCCAGGGGGGAAATTATTCTAGGGGTATTGGAGATGCCTGGTACCCCTCAAAAACGAAAGCGGACAGCTAATCACCCAATTAGCCCAGAAATTGGTAAGAATTGTCAAAAAAACAAATGAAACCCCACACATTTCCCACCCATTCCCACTATGGCCAACGGGAGTTTTTTGGAAGGAAATGAAGGGAATATGGAAGAAATAGGGGCGCGGACGCAAAGTTGGGAAAACCTCTAGAAGAGAGCCAAGTTGTTTTTTTTTTCTCCGGGCTTTCCCCAGGGGAGAAATTATTCTGGAGGTATTGGAGATGCCTGGCACCCCTGAAAAACAAAAGGGGGCAGCTGCTACAATCACAAAACAAATCCAGAAATTGGCAAAAAAAATTAACCAGTGACAACCAAATATTTTGCTTTTCCCACTCATTCCCACTAAGGCCAGAACCACCAAACTAGCCCAGAAACTGGAAAACACCCAAAACCAACTAAAACCATGTTCAGCCAGTGGGTTGCTGAGAGGAAATTTGTTTAAAGATACTATCCTGACTCTTCTTGATCCTATCTGAGTATGTTGAAAATTGTTTAAATTTGTGCCCCAGCTCTGCAAGAAGGGAAACCGTTTTCGGCCGTTTGCGCGCAGCTGCTTACGATCACTTGCGTTTGGCTAGAAATAGACTATACCGGTATCATTTTGATGGAAATTATTCCATTTTTCCATATGAACTCATGAGTTCTTAGAATAATTTATTTTTTTGAACTCAACGGGTGCCGGAATAATATTATAATTATTCTGAGGTATGTTGACGGGGGTAATGTTGGTTCCTGATTAGTGTGTGGCCCCCCCGCTCCCCTAAACTATATCTGGACTCTCTTTAAAGTAGAAAAGCAAAAAAAATCTTCCCAAAAGAAAAACATATCCTCGATTAAGTAAGGATTTCAATTGGCTACACTTGAAATCTAATTACTATTGTTTTTTTTGCCGATGAAGTTGTGGTATTTGTAGTACTTGTAGTACTTGTAGTACTTGTAGTACTTGTAGTACTTGTAGTACTTGTAGTACTTGTAGTACTTGTAGTACTTGTAGTACTCGTAGTACTTGTAGTACTCGTTGTACTTGTAGTACTTGTAGTACTTGTAGTACTTGTAGTACTTGTAGTACATGTAGTACTTGTAGTACTTGTAGTACTTGTAGTACTTGTAGTAATTGTAGTACTTGTAGTACTTGTAGTACTTGTAGTACTTGTAGTACTTGTAGTACTTGTAGTACTTGTAGTACTTGTAGTACATGTAGTACTTGTAGTACATGTAGTACTTGTAGTACTTGTAGTACATGTAGTACTTGTAGTACTTGTAGTACTTGTAGTCCTTGTAGTACTTGTAGTACTTGTAGTACTTGTAGTACTTGTAGTACTTGTAGTACTTGTAGTACTTGTAGTACTTGTAGTACTTGTAGTACTTGTAGTACTTGTAGTACTCGTAGTACTTGTAGTACTTGTAGTACTTGTGGTACTTGTAGTACATGTAGTACTTGTAGTACTTGTAGTACTTGTAGTACTTGTAGTACTTGTAGAAATTGTAGTACTTGTAGTACTTGTAGTATTTGTAGTACTTGTGGAAAAGCTGTTCTTTAATAAGGGTTTTTAATATCCTTTGGGAAAGGCTTGGAGTTTGAATTTGGCAATTTTGGAAAAGGCTTGCTTCCCTTCTGGGCTTCCAAGGGCTGCTCTGGCACAGCTTGCTGCAATAGTGAACCCAGCAAACAAACCTACTAAAGTGAAATGGAGCCTCTCCTGGTCCAGGGCCTTGGAAAATTGTGGAAAAGCTGTGCTTTAATAAGGGTTTAATAAGGGATTGGCTCCTTTGGGAAAGGCTTGGAGTTTGAATTTGGCAATTGCCTTTGGAAAAGGCTTGCTTCCCTTCTGGGCTTCCAGGGGCTGCTCTGGCACAGCTTGCTGCAATAGTGAGCCCAGCAAACAAACCTACTAAAGTGAAATGGAGCCTCTCCTGGTCCAGGGCCTTGGAAAATTGTGGAAAAGCTGTTCCTTAATAAGCGTTTAATAAGGGATTTGCTCCTTTGGGAAAGGCTTGGAGTTTGAATTTGGCAATTGCTTTTGGAAAAGGCTTGCTTCTCTTCTGGGCTTCCAGGAGCTGCTCTGGCACAGCTTGCTACAATAGTGAACCCAGCAAACAAACCTACTAAAGTGAAATGGAGCCTCTCCGGGTCCAGGGCCTTGGAAAATTATGAAAAAGCTGTTCTTTGATAAGGGTTTAACAAGGGATTTGCTCCTTTGGGAAAGGCTTGGAGTTCGAATTTGGCAATTGCTTTTGGAAAAGGCTTGCTTCTCTTTTGGGCTTCCAGGAGCTGCTCTGGCACAGCTTGCCACAATAGTGAACCCAGCAAACAAACCTACTAAAGTGAAATGGAGCCTCTCCGGGTCCAGGGCCTTGAAAAATTGTGGAAAAGTTGTTCTTCAATAAGGGTTTAATAAGGGATTGGCCCCTTTGGGAAAGGCTTGGGGTTTGAATTTGGCAATTGCTTTTGGAAAAGGCTTGCTTCTCTTTTGGGCTTCCAGGAGCTGCGCTGGCACAGCTTGCTACAATAGTGAACCCAGCAAACAAACCTACTAAAGTGAAATGGAGCCTCTCCGGGTCCAGGGCCTTGGAAAATTGTGGAAAAGCTGTTCTTTAATAAGGGTTTAATAAGGGATTGGTTCTTTTGGGAAAGGCTTGCAGTTTGAATTTGGCAATTTTGGAAATGGCTTGCTTCCCTTCTGCAGGGGCTGCTCTGGCACAGCTTGCTGCAATAGTGAACCCAGCAAACAAACCTACTAAAGTGAAATGGAGCCTCCCCTGGTCCAGGGCCTTGGAAAATTATGGAAAAGCTGTTCTTTAATAAGGGTTTAATAAGGGATTGGTTCTTTTGGGAAAGGCTTGGAGTTTGAATTTGGCAATTTTGGAAAAGGCTTGCTTCCCTTCTGGGCTTCCAGGGGCTGCTCTGGCACAGCTTGCTGCAATAGTGAACCCAGCAAACAAACCTACTAAAGTGAAATGAAGCCTCTCCTGGTCCATGGCCTTGGAAAATTGTGGAAAAACTGTTCTTTAATAAGCGTTTAATAAGGGATTGGCTTCTTTGGGAAAGGCTTGGGGTTGGAATTTGGATATTGCCTTTGGAAAAGGCTTGCTTCCTTTCTGGGCTTCCAGGAGCTGCTCTGGCACAGCTTGCTGCAATAGTGAACCCAGCAAACAAACCTACTAAAGTGAAATGAAGCCTCTCCTGGTCCAGGGCCTTGGAAAATTGTGGAAAAGCTGTTCTTTAATAAGGGTTTAATAAGGGATTGGTTCTTTTGGGAAAGGCTTGGGGTTTGAATTTGGCAATTGCCTTTGGAAAAGGCTTGCTTCCCTTCTGGGCTTCCAGGAGCTGCTCTGTTACAGCTTGCTGCAATAGTGAACCCAGCAAACAAACCTACCTTGACTGAGCTATAGCGTTTTTGAGAAAAAAATGCCTCTCAGCAATTACAGTTTTCTTTTGCAAAAAAAAAGGCTCTCCCAATTTTGTTTTGCCACACAAGCGAACCCTCCAAACAATACATGAGTTTCAGAATAATTTGGAAAAAAATTGCCACAATAGCGACCCTAGGTACTAATCAGGACCCAACATTATCCCCTTAAGGCATCCCTCATCATATTACCCTTTTTTTACATATAGAAGGCGAATTGTTATTATTATATATGGATATAAAAACGTATTACTGTATAAGTATAGTTATTCACCACTTAGGAGGACGGGATGATCCTCGACCCATTTTTGTGCTTCCCATTCTTCGGGTCTTCGCGAAGGCTGAAGAGCTGAAACGCCTGGAGAAGGTAAATCAGCGCCGGGCGATTCAACGGCCGGGGACCGAGCCGGCCCCGAGTCGCCAGTTCGCCGGCCATTTTTTTTGGGATGGGATTTGAATGGGAAAAAAATGGGATTCGAATGGGAAACGATGGGAAACTTAGAGACTTACCCTCTGGTAAATTAACTTGTTGACCCTGATTTTATAGCCTAGTTTTAATGGAAACTCATCTGAACCAAGCCCGATGACTGCCAGGGTCTATGTTAATTTACCACAGGGTAATCCATTACTTAAAGACTTAATCCATTAACATCTCATGAAAATGGAAAATCGATCCCATTTAAAAAGGACAAAACATCTATTATATATATAATGTTTTTTCCCCTTTTCAATGGAGGTTTGAATGGAAAAATTGACCATCGACTTGCTAAGTCGTTTGGGCAAGTTGAAGTCGGGCTGGAAATCTGGATACCGACTGGGTTTGATTCATAGCCCATGGCCACTCATCACTCGTAATTAGATATCAGTGTATGTATATATATATATGTACGATACATGAATGTCGCACATATGTACAGTAAGAATTCTAAGAAATTGTACTTTACCCTTAATTCAGGTGCTATATATAAACATATATACACCATTCCCAGTCATGGGTGGTTTATGGCATTGTTTTACCCGCATTGGGATGAAGATCAGTGAGGAATGAAGCAACGAAAACCCCTATGGGGAAATTGGCCAACAAACAATGGGGATGAGTAATGATTAGTATGTGAATCATGAGCAACAAGGTTGGCTAAGTTGAACTGAGAAGGTTAACTAGGGTTTGTGGTAGATATCTACAGTTAGATGGGGTATGATGCCCTGCTTGAGTTCCGCTATGTGCCTATATTGTGCCCTATATTATGGTGATAAAACAAGGTTGTGTTTACTACCAATCCGAAAATGTAGGGCACAATGCTATAAGTTTGTTTTTTACATGTTTATAATTATTAGATATATCCACCACAACCCCCAAAACAATCGGTTGGGGGCCATAAACCACGTCCTATCGGCCCCCGTCAGGCCTGTGGTGCACCTTAGTATGTGGGATCGCAAGAACTGCCAAAACACCGCGCTGGCGGGCGACAAGCAGTACGTTCCTGGGCCGATGAATAAAGTTCCGAAAGAGCGGTAGATATGGGTAAATGATGGTAAATGATAACGACCTTACTGTGACCTCACTGGAATGATGGTTAGTAAGAGGTAACTATCCCAAAATAGCCTTAAATATCCTTAAATCAGACTGGTGAGGATTATAATTCACCTAGATATCTACCCCCAAGTGAAAGCCGGCTATCTGAATGGGGAACGCATGAGAGAGTCTGAGGTGTACAAAAAGCACCAACGATGTGATTCTTATGGATCTGTCCGAAAATGTGGGATACCCATAAAATGGCAATGTTAACATATTTAAAAGGTGAAAATGATGATGAATTGATTCATTGACTAACCATTGGATTTGAGGCTACTGGACAAAGCCAATTTGAAAGGATCAGATCCGCCACAGTCCTGATTTCTCTAGGTGCAACCAGTTCTGCACCAGAACTGGGGCTCACCTCGACCCATGCTAATCATCATCCATGTAGCGATCCAGGTAAGCTTATTAGGAGGTTTCCGATTCGTCATGGGGTATACCCCCAAATCAATCCAAATCATCCATTGGTTTTTGTGGGATTTTCCATAGATTTTCTATGATTTTCCATCCTAAACCATCCAGCTATTGGGGTCCAATCATTGAAACCTCCTGTCATCCGAGGTGGCCCAGTGCCTCAGCAAGGTCTCAGAGTCTCGCCCTGTCCCAATGGAACATCCGGCAGTCGCCTGCGAAATCTATCGACTGGTAAACGTTTACATAACTATGGACAATCACCATTTTTAATGGGAAAATCAACATAAATCAACTATTTCTATGGCCATGTTCAATAGCAAACTGTTAAATTACCAGAGGGTATTTTTCATTTTGTTGCGAACCCCCCCCAAAAAAAACAAGGACCCCCATTGGGGCCTGCTAAGGGGGGCCAGTTTTGAGTTGCAAACTGTCCATTTCTGGGTGCCCAAGATATATCCTATCCTACGACCGTAACCAAGCACCAAGGGTCCTTGGTGGTTTCAAATATGTGTGTATGTATGTATGTATGTATGTATGTTATGTTATGTTATGTAATGCAATGTAATGTAATGTAATGCAATGCAATGCAATGCAATGCAATGCAATGTAATGTAATGTAATGGAATGTAATGTATGTATGTATGTGTATATATATATGTATATTTGTTACACACATATATATATATATATATATATGTATATATATATATATGTATATATATATATGTATATATATATGTATATATATATATATGTATATATATATGTGTGTGTATTGTATTCCATCCATTATACTTGTCATCAGGACCATCCGTCTCAGAGAATCTAGTTTCAAGCGGTGAATCTAAAAACTTTGCATGTCCCATATGTTCATAAAGCTAAGAGTAGACATATCGACCAGGGCGGGTTGTTCTTTCCTCGCTTTCAAGGTGATTTAACCACCATGGATCCAGACAATCCAAATGCAGTGACCAACATCCTGTGTGATGCGTCATTCTGTGTTTTCTGTGTTCCGGATGTTTTATTTGGGATGATTACAGCGATCCAACATATAGCTACCTATCAACCAACCACTAGATGACCTAGATTTTGGGCTTGATGATCCATGGAAATGGTTGATGAAACGGCAATCACGATATAACTGATATGATGGGATATAAACTACAGCATTGTAGAACCAACAATCTATGACAGTTACATAAATGCAGTTATGATTAAATTATCCCCGTTTTTATTAGATCGCCACAGCCACGGCACGCGGCGACCCAGGAAGATGAAGCTGCCAAACTGGCACGCACACAAGTCTTGCGGGACAAGTGGTACCTCGGTTTTTGAATTTATTCTTTTGGGGCCCCTATTTGGATATTTAATGGTATCTGGTTGGTGGTTTCAAACATGACGTTTATTTTCCATTTCATATATGGGATGTCATCCTTCCCATTGACTCATATTTTTCAAGATGGTTATTGCACCACCTTAACCAGGTATTGATTAATTCGGGAAAGCCAATGCCATACACCTCCCCCATTGTGGGATTGTTTCTAGCACCCATCTATGGTGAGTTCCAGCATTGAAACCGTGTCAAAGCTTAATGATGGGGTCCACGATAGTTGAACAGTAATTGTCTAAAAATATGAATGCATGATTACTGGATTGTCTTTTGGAACTTTATCAGTCATGGGCTCCGTGTTCAGTTGGGAAACCGACCTTTTGTGCGGATGGATTGACATCACCAGAGCATGTTGGTGATCAGAACATGTCGACAAGAGATGCGTTCAAACCAAGAGTCAGCGATTCTCCCTATGTTGATCATTGGGGATTGGTGAATATTTCTATAAAACGTATGTCACAGAAATTAGCTGCTTCACATTATGCTCCTATTGAGATTCCTTGAGATGGTCGCAAATCATGTTCAAACTTGAGCAACCTGGTGGCGCTGGAGAGATAACCTAATCACCCTCTGGTAAACTTCCGGCTGGTCATTGTCGGATATCATGATCAATGAATTTAAACAAGATATCATCAATCATCATAAAATATATATATATATATTGAATATAAGATCCGTTTTATGGATCATGATATCGTCGATAATCCGATGTCGTTGTACAATCCAAATAATCCAAGGTCACTGCTGGATATCATGATGGAATCTATAAATATCTATGAAGATAAACTATACTCAGATATTTGATCATTGATAGAATGATGGAATCTATGATAAATATCTATGATGGAATCTATAAATATCTATGATAAATATCTATGATCATCATGCCCATAAAACTTCCCGTCATTTCCTCAAAGCAGCACTCGCGAACGAGGTTCCAGAGTGTCTTCCAGCCCATGCCAGGCGTATACTGCGATGCAATGAGATATGCGTTTTTTTTTGGCACTATAATATCACATATACAGTATAGAATATACACATTGATACATATATCATATATCGGTAAAGCCAAATATTTCAAGTAGATCCAACCATCCTCCAAGCAGATTTGCCTTTTTTACGGCCATGTCAATCAATACTTATATTTATATACATTTGTATAGATATTTATATTTTATTGTTTTACATATAGACAGCCTATAGAATCAAAACTCTAGCTTTGGATGATGATCGATGACTGCAAGTCCGGAAGATGAATTTGCAGAAGAACCGCAGTTTTTTCCGCCTTTGCCATGAGTTTGGCATGCTTAATTGTACCCTTTGACGTAGGAGCTTTTTTTTTAAGCCCTATGACTAGAATGGTGGCCTCGACAAACACGCCACTGGAAAACCCTCGGTTCATCAACATGTTTCCTATAAAATTGCCGTAACTTGGGTCTTTTGGCATCTCCAGTGTTTCGGTACCAAAGCGGACCTTCCGGTGAAAAAATCCACAGGTGCACCCCTCTTCTTGATCGGGGATCCCAAAGTGTGACCTTTTTTTTCAGACCATCCATGGTCAGTGATGCAGGTGAATCATGGATAATCATGTGGTAATATGCTGTATCTCCCAGCACCATGTGTCACTAAGTCACTAAGACAAGCGAATTCCTGCGAGCCAAAGGCCATGTCATTAGCAAAGAAATTTTGCAACGGATGCCTCCTCCAACCATGCAAGCAGAGGCGGTCGGATGGGTCAGGGCGGCTAGAAGAAACCCCACGACGAAGGTCATACCACAAGAGTGGGAAGCCCAACGCAGGGTTCATGAACCCTTGATACTATAGAGGAATAGACATATATATATATTATTATGTGTATATATATACAATGTGTATATATATATTATATTATGTGTATATATATATTACGTGTATATATATTATATATATAATGTATATATATAATGTATATATATATATAATGTATATATATATAATGTATATATATATAATGTATATATATATAATGTATATATATAATGTGTATATATAATGTATATTATATATATAATGTATATATATAATGTATATTATATATATAATGTATATATATAATGTATATATATAATGTATATAGATAATGTATATATATATAATATATTATATATAATGTATACATAATATATATATAATGTATGTATATATATTATGTACATATATATATATATACGTTATGTGCATATGTTTATATACATATACATTATGTACATATATATTATGTATACATGCATATATATATATATATACATATATTGTATATATGTATATGTGTGTATGTGTATGTATAGTGTATGTGTATATATATATGTGCTGATTAATAAACCACATGTGATTCGAGCACTACATTGCTATGGGTATGGGGGCATAAGAAAAGTGAAAGATGGGCCACATAAACGGGCACTTGTGGAAGATCATCCACATCCTGAACAAATGTTGAGTCGATGATGTTCTCCATATTCAGGGGTGAAACTTATCGTAAGGGAAGGGATGGTATATGTATATATATATATACTTAGACAAGTACCAATCAGTTACTATATTCCATGTTGAATATTGAACTTCCATTCTCTCTTGGCTTGCACCTATGAAGACCTATTATGGTTGATTCCTGTGTGTAACATCCCCATAAGGAATCCAACATATTCTGATTCCTGCTATCCATTGGTCAGTCCTCACAATGTCTATCAGTTCATGGCCATTCTTCTCGTGCGAATCCACGGTTTTCAGATACGACGCCCATATTCAGCATATATGGTTGGTGATATATGTCTTAGTATATACTCATTATGTCTCTCTAAATCCGTATTTTTGATGGCTAATTCCACCATTTTCAAACCCAAATAGTTCTTGTTGGTTATATATATATACATATATACATACACCATTAAGCTACTTATTGATATACCCATTAAATACGACATGACACATGAAACCTCTCACTGCGAGGCCACTGGACATAGTGTTTGGCTATTGGGCAACTATCCCATGATGGCTCAACTTTTCAGAGGTATGTTCAAACAATCTGAGAATACTCATTCTGAATAAATCCACTCTCAACTCCTCCCCGTCCTCAGGCAGAAGAAACGAGGTCTCAGTCGCTCGACCTTAGCTTTGTTTGCAGGGTAATTCATCATTAGGAATCATTGGATTTGATTTAAATTGATTTAAATTGATTTAAATTGATTTAAATGATTTAAATTGATTCAAATTGATTTAAATTGATTTAAATTGATTCAAATTGATTTAAATTGATTTAAATTGATTTACCTCCATGTGATTTGATTGGGGTACGGTGAATATGATAGCATGGATAGCAGATGCAGACCAGTGCAACCAGTGGCGGATAGCCAACTGAGGTGTGTAAATGAGCATGAGGAAGAGGATGAAGACAATGAGGTGTGAAGGGTCAGAGACAACAAACCGACTTAACCCATATCAAAACCAATATCAAAACCCAGTCAGAAGGATCCCAAAAAGACCTTGCATGACTCATGATGAGCCAAAGTGACGAGCGTTGTGGATTTTAGCCGCCAAGCAAGAGTCAAATAAATCACCAGAAAGATTCCCTGATATTCCATGCTACTGGTAGGTTTTCCATGGTTTTCCTATACATGTTCCCCTTCAAAACGCCCCCTTCCTTGAATGATTGAATGTATATTGTTTTTTTTGGTCAGCGCCAGGCATGGGATTTCATCCTTTTGATCTCTTGGCTGTCTCGATTACTTCCATCCATTGTGGCAGCTTCTCCCAACATAGAGACATATAGATCATATAGGGACCGCAACAAATCCACCTTTGTGGTTTCCCAAAAGCTCACAGAACTGCCTCACAGCTGCTCAAACCGTTGCTGGGTTTTTCGCACAGTTGTTTTTCCCACCGCCGACACCAGGAGTTTATCTTCGAACAGGTGGAGATTACCAGCATCATCAACTGCTGTCGAAGTTTTTTCGTCTTGGGTCGAGATCCTTGGCCGCCACGGCGGAGGCGCTGCCACGGCGGATCAGGGTTTCTTCAGCGGTGATCTATTTTAGAGTTTCATTTTTTGGGGAGCTACTATAGCAATACATAGCATGATTTTCGCATTTGCTGGAGTGTGATTATATGATTTTATTAAGGATGGGCCAAAATTCAAAAGACTTTTGGAATCGCAGAAGCTGTTGTTTGTTCTTTGAACAAACACTACCAAACACTACCCATCCTACATTCAGCTTACCCCAACGTTCAACCATTCAGATAATCTATATATCCGGTCCTATCTATCTATCCATCCATCTATCCATCCATCCATCCATCTATCTATCGATCTATCGGTCTATCGATCTATCGACCTATCGATCTATCTATCTATCTGTCTGTCTGTCTGTCTAGCTGTCTAGCTGTCTATCTGTCTGTCTGTCTATCTGTCTATCTGTCTATTTGTCTATCTGTCTATCTATCCATCTATCTATCTAATCTACTCTAATCTAATCTACTCTAATCTAATCTACTCTAATCTACTCTACTCTAATCTACTCTAATCTAATCTACTCTAATCTAATCTACTCTAATCTACTCTACTCTAATCTACTCTACTCTAATCTAATCAAATCACATCAAATCTATCTAATCTATCTAATCTCTCTATCTGTCTGTCTGTCTGTCTGTCTGTCTATCTGTCTATCTGTCTATCTGTCTATTTGTCTATCTGTCTATCTATCTATCTATCTATCCATCTATCTGTCTATCTGTCTATCTGTCTATCTATCTATCTATCTATCTATCTATCTATCTATCTATCTATCTATCTTATCTATCTTATCTATTTTGTCTATCTTATCTATCTTATTTATTTATTTATCTATCTACCTATCTATCAATCTATCTATCTATCTGTCTGTCTATCTATCTATCTATCTGTCTGTCTGTCTATCTATCTGTCTAATATAATCTAATCTAATTTTAATCCTCATCTCATCAATCTAATCTAATCCAATCTAATTTAATCTAATCTATCTATCTACATGTAAACGTACACGTGTGTTTCTCAAATTGAAGTACCCGGAAAAAACAAAATAATGAACATGACCAGGATGATTGGGTGGTCCCCCATTTTGTGAAGCCCATGTAGAAATAGGTACCCCCTTGCAGTGTTCTAATTTGGCTCTTGGCAGCTTAGGACAGTGGGCCTGAAGTGACTTGGTTCGAGAAAATCCATGGCGGAATGGCAGGTGATTTGGGGGATCAAAACTCATTAGACATGATATTTCGGGAACATAGATTTACCAGTTCTGTGGCTATTCAATGCTATTCACATTTCGGGGCTCGGGTTTTTTGACTCATATCTATGTTATTTGCTTGAGGTCACAACCCCTCTTTAGATGCTGTTTCCAGCCTGATTTCCCAGGCGTTTAGTAAAACGCCACATCTCCAGCGGGACTTACTTTTTATGGGGTCCTCTCAAGTCCCCTGGACGGGTGGTATCACTAGAATGAATATATTTGGTTGGTGGTTTCAAACATGAATTTTATGTTCCATAATGTATGGGATGTCATCCTTCCCATTGACTTTCATATTTTTCAAGATGGGTAAAACATGTTAAAACCACCAACCAGTATAAATACTACATCTTGTTTTACCACTGGTCGTTTTCACCATTGATCACTGCCTGTTATCCTGATTTTTTTTATTGCAGTAGGGAAACGTGACTACGGAGAGGACTATCTCCATTGTTCCTCGTCGGAGCACCAATCATTGGTCGATCAAACCCTCAATGTTCGTTGGTTTCACCAATTTCGAATGGACTTTAACTCCAGTGTTCATATCTAGATATCATTTTGAATCGGTTCATGTCTTGAGTGTTGGTAAAAATCCAAGCGTTTATCTTAAAATATGTTACTGTACATACAATATTGATTTGTCGCTTAAACAATCCAAAGTTTTCCAGATAAACATCCCAAGCCCTCCTATTAAACCATGCTAACCCGCATTTTCACGGAAAAAAACGACAAACACCACCATGAAATCAGAGATTTCCCATGGTTTTCCATATGAAAAACCCAGAAATCCCACATGTTCACTGGAAAAATCCCAGATTTTCCATTATTTGCCCATGTGAACCCTACATTTTCCCTGGCATTTTCTCCGAGCAAAACAGCCCAGGTCCTAACGCGTGCGGCGTTTTGTCGCATGGCCTGCGCCTTCGAGGGCTTTCGCTCGCAGGGGAGACCCTGGCTGAAGCGATCGGTCTCTTGGAGTGATGAGACTGGGGGTTATTGTTGGGATACATATATATATATATATTATATTATATATTATATTATATATATATAAACATCGGGTTGTTATGTTATTATGATTGTTACACATAATTATCATATATATATATATACATATTATCATTATGAATGATAATTGTTTTCTTGGTGTTTTAGTGACTTAGTTACTTAGTTAGTCAGTTAGTCACTGTTAGTCACTTGGTTTCTTACTTGGTTAGATGGTTAGATAAATAGATAGAGTATATAAGAATATATTTGGTTGGTGGTCTGGAACATGTTTTATGTTTCCATATATTGGGAATAATAATCCCTACTGGCTCATATTTTTCAGAGGGGTCGAAACCACCAACCAGTTTGTTATTGTGATCATTATCATTATGAATATGATGTGTTTTTGTTCTGATGATTATGATGATTTTTGATTATTATGAGTATTATGTTTCATTGGTATGATGATTATGATTATAAAAAGTGTCAGTATCATCATAATAATCATATTATGTATGTTTTGTTTAGCATTGGTGATTATTATCATGATGATGATGTTGATGATGAGTTGATTATAGAAACACTATGTTAGTTATCCATGTTATCCCCCGCCAAAAAATAATCCAAACAAACTAACCACAGTGTGTTTAAATTCATGATGATGATTATTATTATAGAATTACTAGTAGTGTTATTGTTATTGTTATTATTGGGACAATTTTGTCCTCGTATCACTATCCCGATTATGGTTTTTTGTATGTCATAGCCAAAGAAAAGATACTATCACATGTTTCCAGCATGGTGTAGATAGGTTAATTACGCGGTGTTCCCCATAATTTGCAGAGTTCTTGTTTGTCTATCTTTTTGGTGGTCGCAAAAAAAAATCTTTGGAAAGATTTGGACTGGCCCCTGACTGGTTAATGGGAAGGTTTACCAATGGGGATGAAGATTAGCCTTTTTATGGCGATATTCTATGATATTCTGATATATAAAGGACAACTTGGGCTAGGAGAGTGATGGGATAATTAATGATGGGTAAAATGGGCGAATGGGTTTAAGAATAATGGGAATCTCATGGGATTATAATTGGGATTCTGATCATAATGACATAATATATATATAACTATATCATAGTTTAACATAATTGCACAACAATACGTTTACTTAATCTTGACACCTACAGGTGTGAATGCGTATAGCTAATAAACAAGGCTGGGTATCATAATGGGTTAACGGGTTGTAGAATAGAGGGATGACAACGGCATGTAGTGTTATATATATATAGTACAGCTGCAGCAATTGGTTGAGGGATTGAACCATCAAACATGCTGAAAAAATGGCGGAATCAACCATCAAACATGTTGAAGACGAGGGGTAAAAGCCAGCGATACCAAGGGATACCAAAGCGATACCAAAGGGAATCTGTACCAAAGCGATACCAAAGGGAATCTGGTAGTCAACATGTGTGAATCCCCTTGTGAACCCATTGGGATGGGATTCCTCGAAGTTTCAGACAAGCAGCCCAGGCAGGGCGATGTTCATTTTGGAGACATGAAATTCATGAATCCGAACCAAACGGTTGGTGTTTTCAAAGGCATTCCACCTTTAACTTTGAAGATGTGATATTTGTGGATTTTTGTTGAACTGAGGGTTGGAAGTTGGTGAAAGAACCAGTGCGGTTTTTTTCAGCCTATCCTCATGAGAGATGTATCCTGTTTCCTTCCTGACCCAGGCAACAAGTCTATAACACAGAACTCCCGAAGTTAGCACTGAGACGACTGGGAAGGTTTCCAGCGGAATATGATTGGAAACATGCTTCAAATATCAAGAGTTCGCTCCTACTGCATGAATAGATTGCATAAGAAAGAGTACAAGGACGAGAAGAAACAACCCTTTGCAGGCCGCACAGGACTTGGACATGAATAGCAAGCGTATGTGGCGATTTGATTGCAGCATGCATATGCATACCAGTCGGTATACACAGCGGACTCTGTCCGTCAAAACCCGTAGGGCGTAGGGAGTGAAATCTCAAAGGCAACCATGCTCACGCACCCCGTTTGACAAAGAGTGGGAATTGAATCAACCACCATCGATACAATTCGATACATCTGCAACAGACATATCTGAAGCAGATACGGTGATGTGTTTCACATGGAAAACAGTGGGTAGGCTACACCCAAATATTGGATCCATCCCTCCAAAATATTGGATATTTCTGTGTAAATTATAACGACCTCACTGGTTCTCCCTCACTGGAATCATGGTTTTTCACGAAAGCTAGCGTCAGCTAGCTGGAGTCTTCTTGCTTTAGCAAGTATTGGGGGGGCTGCTCAAGGACATCACGTGATTTTTCACGCGAAAGGCCCCCCCCCTCCCCCACCACCACCACCATCACCACCATCATCATCATCATCATCGTCATCATCATCGTCATCATCATCGTCATCATCATCGTCATCATCATCGTCATCGTCCTCTCCATCGTCCTCGTCCTCGTCCGCATCCTCGTCATCATCATCATCATCATCATCATCGTCGTCCTCGTCATCGTCCTCGTCATCGTCATCGTCATCGTCATCATCATGGTCATCATCATCATCATCATCATCATCAGCATCCTCGCCATCATCATCATTATCTATCTATCCATCTATCTATCTATCTATCTATCTATCTATCTATCTATCTATCTATCTATCTATCTATCTATCTATCTATCTATCTATCTATCTATCTATCTATCTATCTATCTATCTATCTATCTATCTATCTATCTATCTATCTTCATCGTCATCATCATCGTCATCATCATCGTCATCATCATCGTCATCGTCCTCTCCATCGTCCTCGTCCGCGTCCTCGTCATCATCATCATCATCATCATCGTCGTCATCATCGTCATCGTCATCATCATCGTCATCATCATCATCATCATCCTCGTCATCATTCATCATTCGTCATTCATCATCATCATCATCATCATCATTCATCATTCATCATCATCATCATCATCATCATCATCATCATCGTTATTCAATTACATTTTATCATTATTGGCAATTATTGTCATTATCACGAAAGCTAGCGTCAGCTCGCTAGAGTCTTCTTGCTTTAGCACGTATTCCGGGGCTCCCCAAGGACATCACGTGATTTTTCCCGCGAAAGGGCCCCCCCCCTGCCCCCTCCCCCATATATATCATTGTTATATATCATATATCAATATATCATTGTTGCATCCTCGTTGGGACGAACAATGCCGCGACACGATGCTGACAGTCCCTCCGCAACTCACCTCTTCCCTTCCTTCTTTCTCCTACCCCGCTAGCTTTCGTCATCCACCCCCGGCCTCAAGTTATAGGGAAATCATCCCCAAATGGCACAATTCAGGTTGGTGATTTTTTGTGTTTTACCCAGATATTTGATGAATAACCAATGGATCCATCCCTGCATTGTTGAAGTGAGCACGAAAATCGCTGAGCGTCCTGAGGTTGCCCATTTCGATCGTTTGTGCAGCAAGATCGTCGCCGCTCAGCATAGCTTTGAGCTTCGAAAACACCCTGTGGGTTGATGAAATGATATGAACTTATATAGGAAATTGAAGATATTTCAACAATGAGACTATGGTGTGTATATATATAATATGTGGGTATAACATGGTATAACTGGTAAAGATGGTTGGTTGATAAAATTACATTGGGTTATACTATCCAAGATTAATTGGGGGTTGTCACAATCCAACAAAGGGGGAAATCTGTTCTCATCAACTATAAAGGGACGACCGAGAGTTTTGAGCACTGCTCATTTCTCTTCGTGATCAAATGCGATTTTTTATGCGGGTGCTGTGGAACCCATCGGAATTGGCGATGTCTCAGAAGCGGCCCCTGCGCTGTCTAAGAATAGCCGTTTCGAGCAGCTATCAACAGACTTTCTCAATCTATATCTTAAAGATTTCATAAATTCATATCAATTCCCATTTGCAGGTGTTTGGATGAGTTTTGCCATATCAACATTTCAGTAAAACCACAGATCGATAGATCGATGACTTGATCGTCGGAGCCAAGCCGAGGTGCAAAGCGAAGGGACCACCTTAGAGGTCCTCGGAATGCGAATGCCGGATGTGGCCCGGCGAGGATGGAGGGTTGGAGAGCTCGGAACACACTGACGTTCAGTCAGATGTTCAGATTTTGAGGGATTTCGTAGATAGTCTGAGAATGTCTAAGACCATCTAAGACCCTCTAAGACCCTCTGCAGATTTGAGACCTATTGCTGAGCACCGATCATTATGATCCTTGCACTGGGTTTGGTATCCATGTGTTTCTTCCATATTTTAAGAATCGCATGTAAATCGAAATGAGAAACGATGGATGTTCTTCTAAAGCAACCGAATATCCGGTTTGGAACTGGAGGTGGCACTACGAAACTTGTCACAACACCTCCATGGGTTTCATTAGATGCCCCGTTGGATTGTTCTATCAGCTGCCGCTTTTATGTCCGCTTGTCCCAGGTCCAAAGTTTGGCAAACTTCGGTGGTGAGGCATTGGGGGAAAAGATGGGAAAAGTCATCCCTGGACAGGGTCTTTAATTTTTTTGTCTAGCCTTAAAAGCCCTGGTTTTGGTATTGCTTGAATATTTTCTGATCCTAAATTAAGATGTTGAGGAAGTTGGTGGGAAATGTCTCAATGGAGTCAATGCTTCGAGGCTTCCAGGCTTCATGGGAAATGTCTCAACATATTGATGGGAATCGGATGGAATGGTGGTATTTGGCTCTCACAAACCCTAGATTTGGCATGATTTGGTGAATCTTCTCCCAGATCTTGGCTTTTTGGGATGGTCTATAGCCATGTCAAGACCATCCACAGGTGACCATTTTGGTCCTTTTTCGCTGCTTATTGCAGGACATGCCCCCTTGGTGGCAAGGGTTTTTTGGTCATAGCACCATTCATAATATTCCAATTAAAGATCCAATGGAATAGAAATGGTGACTCATTCCAGTCATGGGGTAACCAGTCATAGAATAGGGTAATTATTCGAGTTACACCACAAACTGTTTTGTAGTGATATTTCATAGTCCAGCCAAAAAAATTGCTGGTTGGGCCTCCCCAAACATGATTTCAGGAAACACCCAGAAATAGTATTTCTCCGACAAATTAGATTTGACGCATTGGGAAAGGTCAGACAGACAAGGCGTGAATAGATTGTACATATTCAACAATATGCATATATAATATATGTACTGGTATATACATGTAAGTATACATATATTGGATAATGTAACAAGATAATGTGGTCTGCTGCTCTTTAATTGCTTGAATTCCTTGTGTGAGTCACTACCACTCGTAATTCGGACTAGGATGGACTGGTTTTTTCTGTTCCAGGGGAGGCAAGACACCTCAAGGTTTCGGGGCAATTGCTTTTCCTGGCGATTTCTGGGTTTGAAATAGTTAAAACATGTCAGATTCAAGCCCACACATGTATGAACATGTGGCTTCAACCATTTTTCAACCCAACAATTGATCCACCCGCTTGGGGTAGTCATTTTTTACCTGCTGAATTTCAATTGCCTTGGCCACCCTGAGTTTCCGTTTCACCACCCGTTAGCCCCAAAGGTTAGATGATATGGGCTGGGTGGAAGCTCGGCAGACCCCCAGCCGCCGAAGCAGTATGAAGCGGAACCTGCGAAACTGGTTCTTCGAGCAACTTGGTGAAAGAATGCAGAGGGGTTGACCCTGGCTGGGGTTGACAATTGGGCCAGTTCTGTTTGGAAAATCAAATTAGCCAACAAGGAGCCACATGTTCTTGTCATGTTCTGTAATGTTGGCTCTTGATAAGTAGCTAGGTTCGCTATTGTGCCAAAAATTGCCCAAATTATTCTGAACCCATGCATTGTTTGGCGTTCGCTATTGTGGCAAGAAATCTTGGGGGGCATTTTTTTGTCCAAAAAAATGTTTGTGAAAAAAAAACTGCATGTTTTTTTTCTGAAAAAATATTGCTTGTCTCCCTGTCCCAAAAGAATCAGACCGCTTATTAAAACCTTATTAAAGAGCAGTTTTCCCACAAATTTCAAAAGGCACTGGGCCATGAGAGGGTCCAGTTCACTTTAGTAGGTTTGTTCTCAGGGTTCACAATTGCAGCAAACTTTTCCAGAGCTGATCCTGATCCTGATCCTGATCCTGTCTCTCTTCCTCTTCCTTTTCCTTTTTCCCTTTCTCTTCCTCTTCCTCTCTCTCTCTCTCTCTTTCTCTTTCTCTTTCTCTTTCTCTTTCTCTTTCTCTCTTTCCCTTTCTCTTTCTCTTTCTCTTTTTCTTTCTCTTATTTCACTTTGAATAAAAAACTTAAGGTGGAAAAGGTAACGCAATCAACATGCTGAATCCCACTCACTACAAGGTACTACAAGTACTACCTTTAAGGTACTACAAGTACTAAAGTACTACAAATATCACAAGTTCATCGGCAAAAAGTGTTAATTAGATTTCAACTGTAGCCAAACTGAAATCCTTACTTAAGTGCGGATTTTTTTTCTGGGGAACAGTTTTTTGGCGCACAACTTTAAAGAGAGTATAGGTATTGTTTGGGGGAGGGGGAGAGGGGGGCCTGTACACACTAATCAGGATCCAACATTATCTTAAATCAATGTCCAATCACTATTTGAGCTATATTAGCATATGTTGATCAACATTTGAGGCTCTGGAGTGGCCCTTCCGGTTTTTCGCATCGAAAGGTCGAGTCTAGGGCATGTCCATGGGTTGGATCTATCGGATGGATCCAAAACTGGTAGGAACAAAATCCAATTGAACATGAAAATGCCTTGGGTTAAGAAAAGTGGCTTTCCATCAATGGGCCTACCCCCATTCATCATCCATGGATGGATTTTCCCATCAATTTTCCCATCAAGAACCATCCATGAATTTAATGGGTACCCCCATAGGAAACCCCCATGGGGATGTGTTTTCCGAAGCTATGCCATGCCTTCGAGACGAGCGTCTTGCTGAAGATCTCCGGAGCTTTCCCTAGGGGATCCATCTAGAAATGGATGATTTGAAATAGGGCTAGGCATATTTTTGACGAAAAAACACATATGAACATTTGATGGATGTGATGAGAACAGATAACAGAAGATCTAGACAAAATCATAGATTATCATCGATTCAAAAACTCCCAGATGATAGTGATCATGACATATCACATATCATGACATATCAGTAGAAACACACCACAGATCAGTAATGATGAACATTGATTCCCGAGCAGTTTGGTGCAACAACATTTGGTCCAGCGACAGGATGATCCTGTGGCTACAAGGGAATGCCGCACTGCCCTTTTCCAGTGCCAATTCCTCAAACTTTGGTTGGATCCATTTATGTCCACAATATTCATCAATACTCCGGAATATTAGATGATTGCACAAACATTATACATCTTATTAGATATTCTCTATGCGTTGATGTAGCCCAATGGCCATTCTGAAATCCCTCGAGATCGTCACCCTGAGGTCCTGGTATTGCTTCGTTCAGAAGTTTTTCCCTCGATCGAGAACCTAAACGAACCCTAAAACCCACCTTTCTAGTGGGAAAACCCACCTAAATCTAGTGGGAAAACAAATTTGGTCCATTGTTCCCTGTAGATTTGCCCTGAAGGGAGTCCCTAAACAACTTGGACTCAGGTCCTTACTGCCCTCAGCGCAAGACTATGCGCACGCGCGACAGGAGGTCTTAAAGGTGCGGGTTTTCACAGGATTTGTTGTGGATTGATATAGGATAATACTGGGATCATCATGAATAACCATCCCAAATAGTGGTCTATTATTATAAACCATGAATAACCATGGGATAATTATAATATAAACCATCCCAAATAGTGGTCTATTATTTGAATATAGACCGCCAAGTTGGGATGATCTAGAATGACCCCCAAGTTCGCTTGGTGAAGATGCTTTCTGGCATTGGGTTTACCATATTCATCTGGTAATTATCACTTGGCGGATTTTAATTGGCAAATGAAGAATGGATAACAGTGGATAACACTGGTTTATCTGGTAATTTGCATGATTATAATTTATTTTTGTTGCCAAATGCAGTGTTCCATCTGGTAATTCAACATAACTGTGGACAAGTTGGACAATCACCATGTTTATCCATTTTCAATAGACAACTCATCTATCATTTGGATGATCAAATAATCATTAACGATTACAATCCCTTCCCCCAATGCTAAACACTATGGAGCTTTTAATATCAATGGGGCCATGTGATATCGTGATACCCAACGGGATCATGTTGGATCCTAGGAGCCCAAGGGCCCAAGGGCCGCATCCCAAAAGCCTTCACCCAAAACCATCAAGTGTGGGGTGCCCCCAATAAATGCAGCACATAACCATATTATCCTGTTCCCTAACCAAGCTGGTTCTTCGTTTTCTCGGAGAATCCGATTATCCCAATGATTTTTGCCCAATCAGCGACTTTTTCATCGGCTCTACCCTCTGGTAATTTAACATAGCTATTGAAAGTGGCAATTTTTCATGGGAAAATCCACTATTTCTATGGCCATTTTCAATAGCTATTTTGACATAACCAGAGGGTAATTCCTACAACCTGTTGGTCACGCGAAGGTTTCAGGCATGGTATGACCATCTGCCATGGGACTCCCAATGGATGAACATGATGAACGACCCCAAAGAACCGATCAACATTGATCAGAAATATTCATCATTATCCCACTAATAGTTTACATTAATCCATATTTGTTGTTTCATATCCTACTACATATTATGTATATATATATATTATGTATATATATGTATATATATATTATATGTGTATATTATATATATATTATATGTATCCCACTATTGCATTGGCTTTACAGGATGATGATCCACGGATGATCCGATGATCCACGGATGATCCCAAGCAACAGCGCAGTGTGTTGCCAGGCCCGCATTGATCAAGCAAAGCCTGATGGTCTCGCTGAGGTTGAGGCCGCAGCTGTGTTGCATGTGATCAACTCTCTGTATGTATTGTATATGTATGTAATGTACTGTAATGTAATGAAATGTAATGTAATGTTATGTTATGTTATGTAATGTTATGTTATGTTATGTATGTGTATATGCATATGCATAATAATATGTATATGTATAATGTATAATGTATAATGTATAATGTATAATGTATAATGTATAATGTATAATGTATAATGTATAATGTATAATGTATAATGTATAATGTATAATGTATATGTATATGCATGTATATATATATATATACACATAGTGTATAAGTCACACCATTGGTCATGTGTATACTATGTAGTGTTTACATCGCATGATGATCATGACTGGCCGGCACTGCCCTCAAACAGCGTCATAGTCAACTAAAACATAATGATCATGGCAATCTGGCAATCTGATGATTCTCAATACTTTGGTAATCTAATAGGGCTTGGGAAAATGGCCCGTTTGTAGATAGTTTACTGTACCCATGTAGAATTAAATGGTGCTTTTCCACAGCTATGTTAGCTACCACAGGGCAATTTGTTGACTTGAATGGTTGGTTACCTTTCGGTAGTCAAAGATGGCTGGCTGGGAACCTATATATAAATGGATGTGTGAAGGGGAAAAACCCTGCAAAATCATGGGAACATGAAGGTTTTATATAATTGGAAAACATGGAAAAACAGCGTTAAGATCGTGGAAAAACAAAGCTTTTTAATATGTGTTAATGAAAAATCATCGAACTACCCCAACTACCCTCTATAACTATTTAACATAGCTATGGAAAATGGCCCAAGTATAGATCATTCATGATGGTAAAACAATAATAGACCATCCCCAATTTCACCATCAATAGGTGGTATAATTAAACCATTCTCAGGAAAATGGGTGGTAAATATGGCATTGTTTTTACCCCCATTAATGATGATTTACCTGTTCAAAATGGTGATCAGAGGCTACCTCTGACGCTCTCCCAGGAGGAGGAAGCACCGGCCGCTGGACCGCTGCCGGACGATGCGGACGCGGACGACGCGGACGCGTCGCCTGTGTCGCCTGTGCCGACCATTCGAGTGGTGAGCGAAGATGAGCCGAGACCCGAGGAGAGATGGGCGCTGGGGTCGATGCTTTAAGCATGGTTATGGCATGTTATGGCCCTTTTAGTAGTATTTTACCAGTTATTTTTATTATGGGTATAATTTAATATTATGTATAATATATATATAATATGTAATATTATATATAAATATGGGGTGATCATTCCATGTTTGTGGGCTCAGAACTGACTTATAACTTATAGCTGTTTAATGTAGGAAAGCCAATAATGTTAACCACACAAAATTGATGGTTATACCAGCCATCAAGATGGTAAATTTTGGCCTCCCCCACCTTGCGCGTTCCGGGTATGAGGTTGACACATGTTTGTTTAAGCATGTTTTGGTGTGCGAGTATCTAGTGGATACTATTGGTATATAGCGATCAATCATGTTTTGTTGTGCGAAAACAGAAACATGTTCCAATGAGTTGTCGTTTCCGAGTTTTGGACATTTTCTTCGAAGGAACTGCTGTTTTCGCAGAAATCATAAAACGTCCCGTTTGATGACTCGAGGCTAAGTTGGTCGCCCCTAAGTTGTTTTTTTTGGAGTAACCAGGGTTTGGGGTGATGGATAACTCCAGTCAGATGAATAAACTCTATGAAAATCACTCTATTTTTATAGTTAACCATAGAATTACCATTGATTGTATGAATGGATAACTCCAGTTGATGGATAAGAATCCAACTTCTGGCAGCATCTTGTAGATCCCAGGAGTCAGCAGTGCAGGCTCAGGAGGTTGTGCCGGAAACCACGGTTGTCGAGCCAGAAGTGGAAGAGAAAGCAGAGCTTGAAGCGGAGGTACCATCTGGAGCTGGGTATCTGCTAGAGTTGAAAGTGACTTGAAATGTTCTCGGGCGTCGCAAGCTGTTTGGATTTTTTTTAGGTCATCGGCTACTTTTTGGTTTGTTTCAGGAGCCATGCTCCTAAAATTTGCTGTTTTAAAACTGATTTCTATTCTATGTGTTTGGACGAAATCGAAAACCATTTGGATAGAAAAGTGGCCGCAATTGAATAATTAGACTTGAGTTCCTGTACTGTTTCAAAGGGTTCAATTTGGTTCTTGAAATCAATTTGGTGACCACAAGCTCAAAGCACTGATAACATCTGATAACTCTGAAAGTACATGATGTGCAAAGACGTGCCTCGTCCGGACTCAGATTCTTGCTTGGGGAAATAGATGAATCATGCCAGGGTAAAGGGGGTTCAAGCCAAGAGTGCTTCCGAAAAATCTGCCCCGGTGTTCACTTCGTTTTCCAGGGGGAAGTGACCGAATTTCCGGATCTTCACATGAATGAGAAGAACGAGCTCTATGCACACACCTTTGTGGTACAGAAAGGTCACCTGGATGCGAAAGTTCAGTAATGGGGCACTTGGAAAAGATCTGAGATCATGAAAGGTTGGGTTTGTATAGGTTATTTCGTATGGCTGTGCATTACAATACCTTATCTTGGTGGTGTCATCCTCGTTTGGTCTCGATAGTTTTTTGAGAAGACTCTCTCGTTTGGGACTCGGTCTCATTGTTTGTGTGGGAAGGCTGTCTTCATGATATCTATAGCTGCTGCATCCAAAAAAATATCCATCGGGTGCATTATCGTACATTCTCCAGACTCCAGCATAGAAAACTATCCCAAGTACATAGATGGTGACTGTGCAATCCTTTCAGGGCTACAGTGAGCGCCAGCATCGTACTCCATCTCCAGACGCATGGCTCAGGTGAGAATTTGCTGTGCCAGTTGATGGAGCCTGAGGCACGGAAAGCGGCCAGCCTCACTGGGATCGGGTAAAGTTGTGGCGTGTTTTCTGAAGGGAGATTTTGAACCGTTCAACACATCTGCCAGGCAGGGGATCTTCCATTTCCCCTTCGGGAAAAAGACCGAAGTTCTTAGTTCCAGCAACTTCCCAAGTGTCCAAGAAGGGGAGACGAGACAGCTCTTTGAAGGACCCCCAAGTCCCCAAGGTCAGGATGCGTCCAACTTCTTGCAAATCTCACAGTCTTTGTCGGTCAAATCCGATTTTGGGGCTGTTGTACTCATCATAACTCCCTATTGTTTGCGCCAACATGCAAAATCAGCCTAAGCAGGCTTTGCTTTTGCATGGATCCAAACACTGACTGAGAAGGTATTTAACAATTTAACCCCCTAAATCATACCTCAAGTACTTCCTAAGAAGGTACTTGGATCCATCGGGCTTATATATATATATATTATATATTGGTGGATTTGTTTGTTTGTTTGTTTTTTTAATGGGTTTGTCTGAAAACGGAGTAACCCCGAAATCTACTGCTTAATCATTGCTTTCCCCAATTAAAATGGCCACAAGTTATGGGGGTGAATCCCCCATTTTCGGACACACACACAAATATCATTCGAAGATGAAGATCCCCTGATACAAAATGGCGTCAAGTCCAATTGTTGATGTTGATGCTTCAATGGCGTAAATACCCCATGCCTTTATCAAGTTCTCCACCTTCCTACAGGTGATGTGCCTCCTGCCGCAGCTGAGTGATGTGTTCTTCAAGCTATTTGAGGCGGGATCGGAGCTGGATTTGTGTAGGAAAATGGGAAATCATCTATCAATCAGCCAAAAAAAGAGATCACTATGCATTATGTTATCATAGTTTATCAAACCTGATTGAGGTTCTTCACTTTTTCAAGCCTCAAAGTTAGATGCAGACAAGAGGAAATCCGATTCGAAGATCGTGGTGAATTTAAAGCGTTCTGCATCTTTGGGGGCTGTACCCTTGATTTGTGTCAAGGTTGTGCGAAGGATCATTTCATAACAATCACCAACATCCTCCTCCTCCTCCTCATCATCATCATCATCCTCCTCATCCTCATCCTCCTCCTCCTCGTCATCATCAGTATCATCACCATCATCATCAATAGCGTAAGAATTCTAATCATCACCGTCATACTAATAATGATTATTATTACTATTAATCATCAGCAGCAGCAGCAGCAGCAGCACCATCACCACCAGCACCGCTGCCAGTGTGGCCACGGCGCATTTGCTCCGTTCCAGGCATATGCCGATCTTCCCATGCCTGATGGTAGCGGCAGCATGAGTCTGAAAGGACTCCGGTGACTCCGTGTGTGGGATAGATAAAAATAGGAACTGGTCTGAAAATGGGGGATTAACCCGCGAAAATGACATGCAATTCACAGGGAAAATAATGAATAAGCATTGGAATTTGGGGTGTTCCCCTAAATTGCAAACATACAGAAGAATGGGGACTGCAATTCCAATAAGTTTCGATTGAGCAGTGGCTGCTACATCCCTGGTGGTTGATGACTATACAGGGAGTTCTTAAAAAATATTGGGGAGAATCACACTCCTTTGTTGGAAATCATATCAAACAACCAGAGAAATCAGAGAAAAGGGACGACAGAGGGTTTTGAACACTTCAATTGTATAAGATTGTATAAGTATAGGAAGGCCCCCCCAGTGATGTTTGTTGGTTTATAAATCCATCTAACCGTAGAAATATCCACCAGGACCACCAAAAACCCTTGGCGGCCCTTTTTATTTTTTTACCAACTTATCCCAGTTCTTTGGTGTTTCGCCTCTTTGTGGGATAATGCAAAGGTCAAGTTTTTCCACCATAGAAATCACCAGCGACATCCGCAGAAAATCTGGCGGAAGATTTCATGGATGAGATGCCGGGTGTCCTCGCTTTCCATCCAATGCAGTAGTGTTTTTTTTCATAGTGAAATGTCTGAGAAATATCCGTTCATTACTTATGGATCATGGTAAAATTTGGAAACATCTGCTTATATCTACTTCATCTCATGGCAATTGGAAACCCCTAAACTAAATGGAGGTTTTATTTGGAAAGTCATCTTTAAATCATCTATAAAATTATAAATAAGGGATTTTCCATTGCCACCTTTGATTACCAGAGGGAAGGAGGGTACTTTTCTCAATATTAATTCTCCCATTAAGTATCCAATATTGTATCAATGATTCACCATTATTAATTATTAATCAACATGTTCCCACTAAACCCCATATATAGTTACATCAGTTACAGCCCTATTAAACAATTATCTACCACTATTTTCCCAATGTTTGTTGGTTAAATCTCACAATTATTCATCCCCTTAATCACCAAAAAACATCATGGTGACCAGCGACGCAGAGAGGACTGCTGCGTTGCTGCAGCGACTTCGAACTTTTTCCGGCCACTTGGAGAAGCACCAGTGGATGAGGGTTAAACTCCATGAGTTTGAATAGGTAGGTTGGTCGAAATAACCAGGTTTACTACGGTGTTTACTATGGTGCTTACTATGGTTTACAATGGCTTATCATGGTTTACAATGGCTTATCATGGTTTACTGTCATTTACTATGGTTTACCATGATTTATGTATTAATTACTATGATATACTCGGGCTTACTTTGGTTTATACTCGTTTGCTATGGTTTACGATTGTTTATCATGGTTTGCCATGGTTTACCATGGTTTTCTATGGTTTACCGTGGGTTACTATGGTTTACCGTGGGTTACTATGGTTTACCGTGGGTTACTATGGTTTAGCATGGTTTACTGCAGTTTACAGCGGTTTACTATGGTTTACCAAGGTTTGCTATGGTATACTATGGTTTACTGTGGGTTTCTATGGGTTTGCCATGGTTTACTATGGTTTACTATGGTTTACAGACGCTTACGTTGTAGATACATTCATATATCCATATTCAGATGCGTGTGTAGACATACCCATAATTATTATCATATTTATTAGGCCGCATGGTACGATGATACGACATACAGATATCCTTTTGCCTAGAATGGGTATGAAAATGTGAGCCGTCGAGCAGGTGCCTGTTTTTGCCTCGGGTTTTGGAGATCATGGATGGAAGCTATTGACACCCAGGTGTTTTCAAACAAGACCAGGTGTCAATTTCCAAGAAAACAAAAAAACAAGTTACCCTCTGGTTATGACTAACATAGCCATGGTTATCTGTTGTTTGGTGTTTCACATCCAAAGTTCCAAGTTCTCAAGTCACCCATCACCGAAGTCCATTGCCAGCAGCAAA